CCAGACCAGGGGGTATCGATACCTTTGAAAATGAGTATCGTATCCGGGTACAACGTTTTAGTATCGATACTTTTTGGAGTATCGATACTTTTGAAATTGAGTATCGTATCCGGGTACAACATTTTAGTATCGATACTTTTTGGAGTATCGATACTTTTGAAAATTAGTATCGTATCCGGGTACAACATTTTAGTATCGATACTTTTTGGAGTATCGATACTTTTGAAAATTAGTATCGTATCCGGGTACAACATTTTAGTATCGATACTTTTGAAATTGAGTATCGTATCCGGGTACAACCTTTTAGTATCCATACTTTTTGGAGTATCGATACTTTTGATAACCCTATCTGTCAATAAAAACAAATTCAAGAGTTTTCTCTCTTCCAGTCCGGACGTGGGAAAGAAAAAGTTCCCGGGGGGACCATAAGGACGAGATGCACTATAAGGACGATATGGACTATAAGGACGAGTTCAAAGGCTTCCGCGGGCGTCCTGTCGGGTGTCGGGAGTCCAGATCTGGGCGGGTTTGGGCTGCTGGAAGGGGGGTCCGTAGAAAACCCCGTCCACCCACTCCCTGAGGGAGCTGACCGGGGACCCCTGCTGGTCCCGGTCCGGCCTGGTGAGCCCCGGGCGGGGCGGGTACGGGGGGGGGGGGACATCATACAGGGGGGGAATTCAGCCTCCTGGGCTATGGACCAGATCCGGGGCTTTGTGGAGTCCGAGGGGGGCCGAGGCTCCGAGGGGGGGGGGTCCGGTTTGGGTTTCCCTCTGTTGTTAATGTTGTTTTTGGGGGGCTTCGGATCGCTGTCGGAGGCGTCCGACTCCAGGAGGTCGAAGTCCTCCAGGTCGCTGTGGAGCTCCGAACGCCGCGGGTCTGAAACGAGAAAACAGTCAGAAAAAAAAACAGAAAACACCCAGAAAACAGCCTCTAGACACGCTAACCCCTAATCCTAATCCTAACCCCTAACCCTAACCCTAACCAGTCAGACAAGACCCAGAAAACACCCTCTAAACACGCTAACCGGCAGACTCGGGCACTAACCCTAAACCTGACTATAACCCTAACCTTAACCCTAACCCCTAACCCTAACCTGTCACGTCTGGTGTCTCGTCATGTCTTGATTACCTATTGTGTACACCTGGGGTTCCCCTCCCTCATGTGTTTAAATAGTCCTGTTTCCCCTTGTCTTGTGCCAGTGCGTTTTCGTCTCTTGTCCTTCTTGTCCGTCTTGTCCTTTCGTCCGTCTTGTCCATCGTCACCCCCACGCCAGGTTTGTTTTGCCATAGTCTTTTGTTTTTGTCATAGTCACAGTTTTGCCACAGTTTTGTCATTCTTTACTTTGTTACTTTGTCACAGTCATAGTTTTGCCACAGTTTTGATTGCTATTGCTTTGATACTTTGATCACAGTTTTCCACAGCTTTGATTTGTACTTTGTCTGGACATTCACTCTGTTTTTGTACAATAAACCTTGTTTCCCCTCATCTCCGCAACTGAGTCCTCCCTTCAAGACCCCCCTCATGACAGATTTACCATCAGGAGGATCCTGAGGTCCCGCAAGTGGGGTAGGGGGACGCAATATCTCATTGACTGGGAGGGCTACGGCCCGGAGGAGCGCCAGTGGGTCCCTTCCAGCCGGGTCCTGGACAAGTCCCTCATCAGGGAGTTTCACAGAGCCCACCCGGAACAACCTAGGGCGTCTGGGATCCGCCCTTGAGGGGGGGGCTCTGTGACGTTCTGGCTCCGCCCACCGACTCTCACTCACTCTGCCTGCAATGAGCGACATTGGTCGCACCTGTCCCGGTCAGTACAAATATCCCACTCACTCACTCACCTGTGCCAGAACGCCTCTAAACAAACCGTGTGAGTACTTCCAGCAATATTATTCTGCCTGCCTGCCTGTTACGACCTGATTGACCCCGTTTCCGAGCCTGCCTGTCCCACGTCTGATTTTTCTGCCTCGCCTGAGTTCTGCCTGGTCGGCCTCAGTGCTCTGCCTGCCTGCCCGTGTCCCCGACCCAGCCTGCCTGACTCCGCGCTCCCGCCTGATCCTCTGGACTGCTTTCCCGGCCTTGACCCCCGCTCGTTCTGGACCACGTTTTGGATTACCCTCCTGATTGCTGCTGGACTGACCACACGGTGCCGACCTCGCCTGCCTGACCACGCCCATAGGATATTCCTGAGAATAAACCTGTTTGAACTGACCGTTGCCTCAGGGTGTTTTTGGGTCCAAAGAACGATCATTACATAACCAGTCAGACTACACCCAGAAAACCGGCCGACTGGGGCCTAACCCTAACCCTAACCCGAACCCCAACCCTAACCTGGAGGTTCCTGGTCCCCTGGAGGTCTCTCGGCCTCGTCGCTGTCCTCCTCACAGCCGCGGTCCTCTGAAGCTTTGCAGGCCCGCGGAGACCACGTCACTTTGTTCTCCTTTTTCAGCCTCCTGCGCGCATTAGCAAACCACGTAGAGACCTAAAGAGGAGGGAAGCAATCCAGGATCAGAGGAGAACTCAGAAATACACAAATCAAAGAAGAAATAGAACAGAAGAAAGGTTATCTTAAAAAAACAAACAAAAAAAAACGTCATAATTTAATTAAAAATCAGCCAAAAATCATGACTTTAACCCTGTAAAGCCTGATCCAAGAAAAAAACACAACGGAAAATACTTTTTTATTTGAAGTCTTTATTTGGCTTTTTAACAAAATATATAAAAATAAAAACAGAAATACATTTTTAATATTAATAATTTATTACTATGCGATAAGTCAAGATTATTTTTTGTGTAGTCTTCTGCCCCCTGTTATCAGGTGTATCTGATTGTGTACAATAGGATTTCGAGCAACGTTTTTACCATTAAATTATGCAAAAGGTGTCAGATACAAAACATTTAAGAAACCGTATGAATCAGATATGATACATTTGGCATTATAAGGTTAACCCTTAACTCATTGGCTGCCAAAGACGTCTATAGACGTCTTTTATGTTTTTCAACGAGAGTGGCTGGGGGACGATCTGCTAAAGCTTGTCCGTAAATATCGGCTTCTAGACAGAGTATGTAGTAACAAATTGACCCTCTAGGGGGCAGTGCCACTTTTGATGGGAGATGAGCATAGACTGTAGGCAAATAAGAAAAAGCTAACGGTTCTATGAGAAAACTTGTCGCCGGTGAGACGCAAGTCCAGGAAGAACGGAATAAGGTAGAAACAAAAAAAATTTCCTGATGAAAGAAGAGAGTCTACTCTTTCTTTTGGTGTGTTCGGTGTTTACATAGTCATAGCACAAACTATTCTGTGGCTCTTGAAAAATCAGTCGAAATGCTCAAAAAACTCTGGCAGTATGGGACTCTGTTCTGAAAATGGCTGCCAGTCAATGAGTTAAAAACGGAGGAGAAACCCACCATCTATCATCCATCCATCCATCCATCCAGACCCAATAATAATAGTCCCAGAGGGAAATTATTTTTGTTACAGGCTCCATAAGTCAAACAAAGGCATATACATATGTACATGTCTGTACATATATACATATATATATACAAAATTCCTCATATCATATAGCGAGATATATACATAAAAAACTATATGTACAGTGGGGGAAATAAGTATTTGACCCCTTGCTGATTTTGCCGGTTTTCCCACTTACAAAGAATGCAACGATCTATAACTTTAATCATATGTACATTCTAACAGTGAAAGACAGAATCCCAAAGAAAATTCCAGAAAATCACATCATATGAATTTATAAAAATTGATAACCATCTGATGAGGAAAAATAAGCATTCTTTGTAAGTGGGCAAACCTGCAAAATCAAAAAGGACTCAAATACTTATTTCCCCCACTGTATAATAAAGCGACCATAACTTATTTCCATCACTGCATTGAACTCAAATGGAAAAAAAACACTTATTTTTTCTTTATAAACCATAAAGGACACACACACACAGACACAGACACACACACCTGTGTGAGGGTCATCCTG